TGCGTTTTAATGTAGATGATTGCCATAAATAAAATGACTGATTCTAATACATGATATATCGAACAAATCTGTATAAACAAAATATTAGGTCTGTTCTTCGCAGTTGTTTTTCATTTGAAACAAGATAGATACAAATGGATGCTGCAGGAAAAAAAATGAAAGACGAAAGGAACTTATAAAGAATAACTCAGTTTTGTTTGTTTATAGCTTGTTTATATTTTTATAACCGAAAACTATTTTTGTAGTCGCATTGAATTTGATGTACATTCTCTGTACTTAAAATAAAATAGGTATTTGTTTGAAATTTGGCGAAGGCGAAAGAAAAAGTCCTGCAATGCAGCAATAAGAAAAACTGTTCATTTTGAAAAGAATTAAAGAAAGATATTGTTTATATGTATAATTTCTACTAATGTGTGTGTATGTGTGTGTGTGTGTAGATTAACTTTAATTTCAATATAGCTTTTTATTTTTTTTTCTAGTTCTAAGAATTAGAAGTATAAAAATTGATAAGTCTGATACAGACTTAAGACATTTGTAATGTCTACTTAACATTTTTTTAATACGCCGAAATATTTAGATGGTTCCATAACAAATGTATATTTGACACGTCAATTTAATGTTTTTACATACCATAAAAGCATTAGAAACGTTTCAGCTTTTAAACGTAAATAGTCTGCTTAGATAGATTCGATAGACATTAAAAATGAATAATATCTTGAATAAAATTGATAATTACGTCAACCGAAGCAGAACACAAATCATAATATCAAACTGACGCCAAAATGATTACCAAAAGTCACTTTCAATCATTTATGATTTATTTTAACGCCATTTTGAACGTTTTTGTTATTTGTTTTACTAGAGAACGATTGTAATTACTGCCCACAAAGCATGAAATATTTTACAAATATTTCCAAAATATTTTATTATAAGATTAGAAATATTTCAGAAATTTTTCATGAAATATTTTTAAAATACAAATATATCTAGGAAATTAAAGTTTTTTGAAATATTTTTGTTCTTATAATATTTGTATAATATTTCTAAAATATTTTTGTAAAATGTTTTAGTGCAATATTTTAAAATATTTTACAAATGTTTACAAAATATTTCTGTAATATCTCATTGAAATATTTCAAAAAAAAATTTACATAAAGTATTTTATGCTATGTATGGATATATACGATCTATAAAAAGTATAGGAATTTTAAGATGGATAAAGTTGCCGTTTCACGAATTGTTTTGCGTTACGTAAAGTATAAAAAAGAGTAAAAGTAACGAGGATGCTATTATAATCATAATAGTATTCGTTCGGTCCCGTGACCGTCATAATTGCGGTGGGGCTAACCTAATTGCGACGGCGCAGATGTATGCATGGGGGATATCTAGAGCACGTGACTTTGCGTAGCATGACTTTGAAGAATCGACACGCATAATTATATATGTTTTTCTTCTCGTAAATTACTGGATATAGACATCTGATACATGACCGAGACCCGAGACCCTGAAGCCCACGCGTGTTAACAAAGCGAGAAAATGATCCTCGTATAATTTTATTATGAAATTTTATATAAGAAAATTTCACAATAGAAACGATAATTTCTTAGCCGAGGTTCGTAATCGTCTTTTCTCCTGTCGCGACATAACTGTTTCTCGCTCGACAAGGAGAGAGGAAGTGAGAAACGGTACACTCGGCATTCTAGGCTTCGCGGAAAGCAAATGAGTACAGCTATATAGAAGTATAGATTATATATACTTTATATGTGTTGATGCGATTAACCAACCCAGTCGATATCAACTAAAGATAACATCAATGTTATAATTCCCCTGGCGAAAATAAAAATCGAAGTGTAAGTTGAATGTCGAATATAATTAAGGAGACAGAATATAAAAGAAACATAAATGAAACTTGAACGTTCTTTTATTTTTCGTTGTCTCAATTTTCGCCTCTTAGGCCCGTTTCTACCAACGCAGATTAACTTTAATCTCGGTTCAACTTACTCTTTGTCTTTTTCTAGTTCTAAAGATTAGAAAAAGACGAAGAGTAAGTAGAACCGAGATTAAAGTTAATCTACATTGGTGGAAATGGGCATTAGACCCATTTTCACAGCTTAACCGAGGTTCAACTTGTTTCTCATCTCTCTTCAATTATAGAATTGGAAAGAGAACAATGAATAAGTTGAACCTTGGTTAAGAGTTAACCGTTGAGTTGTGAAACTAGGCCTTAAAAATTTAATTTACTTTTCTGTTACTCTTTTCTTACATTTAACACACCGATTTTTATTTTCGCCAGAGTACAACATTCAACAATATAACTATTATGTAACACCATATATTTGTATTACATATAGTTATATTATATTTATGCCAATTTCTACCATTGTAGATTAATTTTAATCTCAGTTTAATTTATTTTTCATTTTTTAAATAATATACTCATATCCACGGTTCCACCAATGTAAATTAATTTTAATTTCAATTCAATTTAATCTTTATATTTTTCTAGGTACATTAAAAAAAATGAAGAGTAAATTGAACCGAGATTAAAGTTAATCTACATTGAAAAACGGGTATTATTATATCGTTGAATGCGAAATTATAACATAGATGTTTCAATTTGACGACTGAAAATATTTTGAAGTTCCTTTAAATTTTAAATGGAAAAAAATTACAGCGAAATGTCGAAATAAATGCCCAAAAGCTGAATTATGGAACTGCGAAGATTCATCGTTTCATGTCCTACGTTGACGTCAATTACGTCAATGGCGAGGATGCAAAGTCTCAGTTTTTTTTTTTGCTACATTATTATACTATATATTACTAGTATCATAACACACATATATTAATACACTCAGCATTAATAATTAATAATCGTCAATAACAGTGCTTCTCTAAGTAGGAATCGCGAAACTCACGGCCGCGAGCTACACGATTCATCAGAATTGAAAATTATAGTTAAAAAAAAAAAGAATAGATGAAGATAGAAAGAGATGAAGAGAAGGAATTAGAACTGATTAACAAATTAGTGAAATATAACTAATTAATAAATCAAAGAATTAATCGACAAACTAATTTATATTTCATAAATTAATTTATAAGCTTCATTTATGATCTAATTAGAAAACTAATTTTTATACAAATCGAATACAAATTTTATACAAGTCATACGGATTGCGACATACAAAAGTAGATTTATTGGCGTTGCTTTTGAAATCTTTAAAAATATTTGTACTTGAAAAAAACGAGATAAATTTTATATTCTAACGTTGAAAAAGAAAATTCCAAGTGTAACAACCCAACCAGAATAAGTCACAAAAAACGTTAAAATGAATTGTAAATTGTAAATGATTGAAGTGACTTTTAGTATTTTGAAGTACATTGTCACGTCATTTTGTTGTCATGATGACTTGTGTTCTGCTTAGGAAGTGCGAGAGCAACGTGAACAAATCTTTTCAGTCTTTTTTGTCATCTCTCGCGATCGTCTTTAAAATTTCGAACCGTATCAGAGCTCGGCCACAAACAATTTTGTCAAAATCCTACTATAGAAAGGTACGTATAATTTCTCTTTATATACAGGGTGGTCCATTTAAATCGAACATCTTGAATCCCTTACAGCACAAAACTTGCAGCAACAATGCTGCAACATTGCAACAATATTGCACGTTGCAGCAATATTGCAGCGTTATTGCAGCAATATTGCTGCAAATTTTGTGTTGTATGGGATATTTCGCTTATTTTTGATGATACAAAAAAATGTTTCGAACGAAAGTGGAACGGTTTCGAGTGGACGTATTTTGGTTATGTTGCTGTTTTTCTAGGTGGAGGCGTCAAAAAGATATGAAGGTTACCTCCACTTTTTAAAATGGAATTGTATGATTTTTTTTATACAATATGATTCCTCTAATTATTCTGCATACAAAAATATTAAGGTAGTAATATCAAAAAACCAATAGTTTACGAGATATTTTACACTTTATTCTGACATATATTAACATAAAGTGTTAAATAACTCGTAAACTATTAACTTTTTGATAATCGTACTTTAATACTTTTATGAACAGAATAATGAGATGAAATCAGATAAAATAAAATGTAAAAGAATGTTAGAATACAACGTAAAATATCTCGTCAACTATTGGTTTTTTGATACCACCTTAATACTTTTTTTGCAGAATAATTAGAGAAATCATATTGTGTAAAAAAAATCATACAATTTAATTTCAAAAAGTGGAGGTAACCTTGTTCATATCTTTTTAACGCCTCCAACTAAAAAAAAAACCAACACGCCCCCCTCGAAACTCTTCCACTTTCATTTGAAACATTTCTTTATATCATAAGAAATAAGAGAGATATTTCAGATAGTCAATTTAAAAGTGGATCATCCTGTATAATATACTATTACTTTAACTTACTTTATTATCTTAATTAAAATTATAGAATGAAACACAATTAAATTAAAATTAAATTAAATTAAACACAATATAAGTTAGAATAATGAGATAGTATATATACAGGAAAAAATTATATATACTCTAAAGTCTTTGGAGCAAAATCTCACACTATATATAAAGAGTGAAAATTGAGCCAGTCTCGAAAAAGGGTCGCTCAATTTTTAATTTTAAGTGTGAGTAGATTTCACTCTTCAGATATTTAATTCATTTAGAAAGCATCTTTTTCTCTCTCGTGAGATTTTGACAAAATCGCTCATATATAGCCAAACCCTGATACTATAAAGTCTGTTCTTTTTAGCTAAAGTTCTTGCACGGTTCACCTCTCTTCCTTTTCTCTCCACGTTGGAGTGGAAAGATGAACCGTGCAAGAAGTTGAGCTAAAAGAGAAACAAGCCAATAGTCTCCATTGCGTACGGCCCTGCAACGCACCACCGCGGTGCAGCCACGTAGAAGGCGAGCAAAGGCGACTCTCGTCTCTGCGCCGCTCCGGCCGCTCGTACCGCATACGCCACATGCCTGATGCCACACCACATGCCACATTGGCGGTGGGAAAGGAGAGAAGCGGGGAGGCGGGAGGGGCAAGGGAACTACGTAACGCGCACCGGTACGCATCGTTCGTATCGTACGATTATCGTCGCGCGCGCCGAGTTCGAGTCGTCGAGTCGTCGTCATTCTCGTCGGCGAGCGGCGCCTAGTCGGCCGATATTAGTGTTAGTCCGCGGATTTCCGACGATCGTCTCCGTTTTCCCGCCACCCCGTTGCACCCCGTTTCCCGGTGTATTCTTTCTCTCTCTCTCTCTGTTGCCCTCTGTTCTGTTGTACTCGTCAGCAAGCACGCGTCGCACGTATACGCATCATCGCGCGTACACGCACGCACGCACGCACGCATAGAAGTTTAGAGTTCGGAGTTCGGGAGCGCGCACGCCGCGTTTCGGTCTCTCTCTCCCGGCGCGGTTGATCGTAACCTCTCGTCTTCCTCGGCGGCACTCCTCTGCACTCCTCGCTCGCCCACTGATAGACCCAGATCGGTCGGTCAGTTTGGTTTTGGTCAAGATGGCCGAGAAGAGTGGCTCGCCGGCCGCTACGGCCCCGGAACAGCAGCAGCAGCAACAGTCGCAGTTCCTGTCGAACTTTATTGCCGAGATCGTCAAGAGCCCATTGAACCTCGCCCTCGTGGGCGTGATCGCTATTCTGGTCTATAAGATCGTCAAGAGCCGCACCCGGCCCGAGGAGCCCGTGCAGGAAGTGAAGAAGCTACCGAAGCTACGCCGCGATTTCACGATCGAGGAGCTAACCAAGTACGACGGCAAGGGCCCGGACGGCCGGATACTCGTCGCCGTCAACGGCAGCGTATACGACGTCACCAGAGGCGCCAGGTTCTACGGCCCTGGTGAGTCGTCGCCGGGACATTCCGCATCAGCGGATCAATTCTCCCTCACCCGCCGATCTCTATCGCGCTTGTTGGCGATCGAACGATGTTTTTTTCCCCTCCCTCTTCTCCTGATCATGATTTAATTCTCCGTCTCTTCCTCTTTCCTTCTCTTTCATTCTCATTTGTTTCAATCTGTATTTCTTTTCCTCTCAGACTTCATTAGCCGTTTTTTTTATTAGTCTCTAGGAGTGTCCGATGATATCATACTCCGCGCGAACAGAAATAAAATCGCGAAAGTCTCGCGATCGTCACGACCAATTGTGCCTCTCCAATTGCGCCGCGATACCAAGCTAACGATAGCGGTTTATCACGTTCCGTGACGTATAGCCTGGCGAGAAGGTCTCGCGCCTAAGTATGTAGCACGGACAGATGCACGAAGCCTGTTCTTTTCACGATTCATCTTTCTACGTTATGAAGAGAAAGGAAGAAAGGTGAACGTGAAAGAGTACTGCTAAAAGAACAGGCTTATGATTGGTGAAACTCGAGAAACTGGGAAATTGTTTTCGAAACCTATAAGCCCACCAAGCAAAGTCATAAAGTTGATAAGCGATTGCAGCTGAGATCATTTGAATTAGCACACGAAGGAATGTCGCACACTTGTTCTCCTTGTTTTACATCCTCTTTGATTTCTAATAAAGATAAGGCTGTGTTCAGTAAAAAAAAGCAGCTCGGCTATAGTTATAAGTTCTTCAATGATATGATAGGTCCTTGGTTCGTTACTGGATTTAAATGTATGAACTAATAGCTATATTCAGCAGAGAAAACAGCTTTGCAATTGTTGTAAACAATTATTTTGTACATTTAGATCCATAAGGAACCAAAGGCAAGAATCAGTTTTATTAAAGAATTTTACTACATTTACAAAACTGCTTTTTTTACTAAACGCAGCCATTGCTCACGTTCAGCAGAATGTATATCTTGCGACCATTGACAGTTTTTTTCTTCATTAGATAGAATATATTCTTCTCGATGTAAAAATATAATCCAATTGGAACGAAGAAAACTTTCACCAGTTGTAAAATAAGTAATTTGCTAAACGCAGTCATATTAATAAATTTTACAATATTTGCAAAGCTGCTTTTTCTGCTGAACGCAGCCAATGTGTAAAGATCTAATCGGTTACGTGCTTTTAGTCAAAAGGGATTGTATGTGGTGTGCGTAAACATCCTTCAAAAAACTTTTGCTTAATATACATTTTCTATAGAGATAGACCTTATGAAGAAAAATTTATTTACTTCAGTTTTCATGCACAATTCAAATTATGCGTTTTCAATAAGCGATAATAGTTCTTCCAACAGGGAAAGAAATGTGAGATGGAGCTACTTTGTAACAATGCACTGATTATATAATTGATACATGTAAGAAATGAGTATGGAATTCTATTTTTAAATTAGTTATCGTTAGTAAAAGGAGGAGACTTGATTTACAAATTTCAATCCACATAAATCCATCTATACTTTCTACTCAATGTCTCAAAACTCCACAGACTAAATATTGCTATTCCTTTAGGTGGACCCTATGAAGCGTTTGGTGGTCGAGATGCCAGTAGAGCACTCGCGAGGTTTGAAGTGGTCGCTGCGACGGATAAATATGACGATCTAAGTGACCTGAACACTACAGAAATGAATTCTATCAAGGAATGGGAAGAACAATTCAAAGGTAAATAAATTCGTGCATATTGAATAAGCGATAGTTCTTTCAACATTAATAAATGAGAGATAAAAAAAGCTATTTCACAACACTGCACTAATATATTTACATAATTAAGGAGTCAATATGGAATATTTACTCGATTTTATTTTAATATTAATTCTCGTTAGTAAAACACTTTTTTTTGAAAGTGTTATCTATGTAGAGCACACATTCTAAAATAATGTAGGCTGCGTTCGATTCAAACTCCTTCAGCACTTTCGGCACTTCCATTCTTATTTTACACTTAATGAACGCTAAAGGCAGAATGTCGATAATAAGCGGATGAGCATTCAAATCAAATATAACCATACTGCAACATTTTATTAATAAGATATAGACTTTAAACTCTATGTAAATTATTTTTTTTAGTGTGATATTTTCTTCGCTTGTATGAAATATGAGATAACGTATTCTATGTCTAAGTCAATATTAAAGCTTCGAATCTCTCATGAATAATGAATGAGAGCATGGTTCAAGGCTTTTGTGTTACGTGTATCCGTTTTAATTTACAGATATTTAAAATAAATATAGAGACACGTAAATAAATTATTTAGAAGAACGATAATATAAATACGTTTACTTTAATTACAGAGAGATATGATTACGTCGGAAAACTATTAAAGCCTGGCGAAGCACCGACAAATTATTCCGACGAAGAGGACGAGGGTAGCCAACGGGAGACTGAAACAAAATCGGAAAGCTATGATGCAGAGAAAAAAGCGGATCGTAACGAGGCCGCCGAAAAGTCAAAGAGCGATTGACCGCATGATCGTATGTTGGAGGCAGAACTGTTACAGGAGCACACTACGCACACGCTGTTGTTACAGAAATCTTTGAAATTGTCGCTCATGAATATATTTCTGGACGTTCGGCCGAATATTTTATTACTTGGTAACGGTAATCGGATAAAGAGGCGAAATGCCGGCTTTTAATAATCGCATTGGAAATATATAAAACACATTTCCGAAAAAGCTGGTGGTTATACTACGTGAAGACTTTATTTGGGCGTCTAGTTCGCCGATCAGCGTGCTGACGCTCGTGTCTTTTAATGTTTTTATATTATATGTACAAAAGATTTTCTACCAAAAAAACGCTAAGCCGAATCAGTGGCATGTAACAACATACATATTCCATTGTAGATTCTTGTTGAATTACTTTTATTTCGCTGTACAACACGCGATGACTGTCCGCGCCTGTACCCGCACGAGTACGGCGATATGATAAAGCTGACGTTGCATTTGAAATTTAGTTTTAAGTCTGCTTTAAGTCCTCTCACGTTCATGCAGAATTGCGAATTAAGAAAGAGCCACCGAATTGTGAGAGAGAAGGGGAGAGAAAGATCACACAGACATACACTTCGAAATAATAAGCTTGCGAATGATCCGAATGGCGCTCATTAATTCTGACCAAGCGCTGAAGATATAGTTATATTGATGTTACACTTTTAATATGTAACTGTATTAGAAATGTAATTATTATCAAATGATGAAAAATGTGGTATATCGATTCAGAGGTCTTTCTCTCACTCGCGATTGTCTCGATGAGGCAAATTGCATTTTTTTTTCATGTAAAAGTTTTAATTGCTGAAGTAGTACCGGAAAACTGAGCATAACGCGTGCGTCTCTAACGGTTTATTTTACACAGACGAAAATAACAAGTGTATGAAATTTTCTGTGGTGCATTTTAGCATTGTAAAGTTTTGTTACAAAAGTTTAATAGAACTGGTATTCATAGATAATCCGTTTTTTTTTTAGATCGTCTTAAGTAATATTTTGAGGTGCTGATCAATATAATTCTATTTAATTTATAATATTTTCAGATGACTTTTTAAGAATGGACTATGAATACTGGTCTAAGATGTTACATTTGCAAGTATTCGCGTACTTCCGCGTAGCGTTGTCTCTTTGACACTGCATTGATTTATTAATGCTATTTAATGGCTTTATTCACCAACAAAATATGGTTTTGGTAAATAGTTATATATGAAAATAAGTTTACAAATAAAGATTAATATTAGAGTTACGTAAAATATATATACATATATCTATATTTCTACATACAAGTGAAAAGTTTGCATGCACTTCCTGTGTATAATTTAAAACTACGATATAAGTCAAATTGTATTTTACATCTTGTTAGCATTTAAAATGACAAGAAAAGTATTTATTATATATTAGCACGCGTTGTGCTAGTTACTTGAAAAAATGGTGTATATAACTTAACATGGTTAGATAGTACTGATTGTGGCAAATAAAGTTTTATTATTGTTTATATTAATTCAACGGCGAGTGCACGTTCAGTTTGATCGTCGTCATGTACACGAAGAATATATGGATACTTTTATTCTCTAATTAATTATTTGGAAAGAATTTTTCCTCTCCATTCTCGAGAAGCAGCGATCATTCTCATTATAATGAGTATATATTACTTAATGGGCGTAATGTTGTAGCTTACAGAGACGACAAAGGTAAATTAATTTATGTGACTTTAGAAGTAACGTTAAAAATAAAAGTCGGATTATAAAAAAAAGATCCTTATTTCAAGCATTCGAAGTAAAGTTTAATTTAAAAATATTAATAGATTTGTTCTTAGCTAAGCTTTTTGTATTTTATTCCTTTGTGACGTTCTATCATGTGATTGTTTCGTTTTGAAAACAATTACATTTTATTGCCGATAATTGACAAATTTTGAGAGAGAGAGAGAGAGATTATGCTGTTTTTTCGGCGCCACAAGAACAAGTAACGTTAACGATTCGCGACGGAGTCTCAGCCAACAGGTGGCATTCTTGTCCCCCAAACACAGAGTTCCTCTACTAGAGAGACTACCACACAGAGTTGGCAGACTTGAACGCGCCCAATACCACCATAGCTGCGTTCGGGAATACACACCGAGTATCTCCAAGTTCTCCAAGTATCATTTTGTCATATTCATCGAATATTAAACAAAGATAAATTATAAATGATGTGTATTTTCGAACGCAGCCCCTTATGTATTCTAGGAATGCTACTCTAAAAATGCGTAGTCTACACTTTGCATCTGCACTAATCTGCACTTCCAACATTCATGGTTCAATGGATTGACGATCAGCCAGCATTGGCATTGGCCAGCATGTAGCGATGTAGTTTGTGATGTGAGTGTCACGATCTGTCATAGATTTTCGGCCAGGAAGCGACAGGATGTCATTCACCAGTCGCACGATTATTTGGTAGTCCTTCGAAGAAGCCAGCGAAGATCATTCGAAGATCCAGCATGGCTCACCTAAACGGCGTGTTGAAGGCCGTGGAAACGCTGAATGGGTTACTGGAGTTGGACACTCCGTCGGATCCTGGAGCAAGGTATGAACGGTAAACACTTCTCTAGCGATGACAGACGATTTGCTCCTTAATAAATGCAAATGCTTCAACAGTAGGAAGGAGAAGGTGTCATGCTGTGCCATCATCGTCGAAGGAATATGTTCGCCGACTGTCAGACAGAACACCAAATTTCCACAGATTCTCAGTGCCACAATTGAAACGTTGTTGGCACTCTGTAACGACGATGAGTCTGACGTCAGGATGATCGCAGATGAATCTCTGAATAAAATTATCAGGGTACAATTACACTTTAGATTTATTATTATAGCAAATTTGATCCCTTGTATTACATTAAATTTCTAGTCGACACAAACTAATAGTAGTAAAAAGTAATATAACATTGATATTATAATTTTACATTCAACAATATAAATGTAATATAACACATGGTGTTACATAACAGTTATATTGTTGAGCAAAATTATACATTAATGTTATGTTAGGTTTAATTGATGTGGACTGGATTAGCATATACTAGAAGCTATTAAATTAGTAAAGTTAAATATTAAGAGCATATAAATGTTTGAACGATTAAATGCTTAAAAATAATATTGTTCCGTTATTTAACAGAATATATTATTTTATTGCCAAAATTAATTACATCATGCCACTGTATTTAGATACAGTGCTTTATATAATTTAACCTTTAGTGTACACTCATATATAGTACAAATGACTGAATTTATCATTAGTCAGAAAAGTTGTAGGTATTCATAAAACATGATAAAAAGCATACATTAAGAAATTCAATACTTAAAAGCAATTCAATGGATGTTTTTTGCCAGGCGATGGTCGACAGTAATATCGTTAAAATTCAGATAGAGCTTTATAATGAAATAAAAAGAAATGGACCTGCACGCGTATTGAGAGCTGCTCTCTGGAGATTTGGTTTGCTAAGTCACATGATACGTCCTTCAAGGGGCAAAGCTTACGTATCAAATCTGATCCCATGTATAGTGATTATTGCGCATCGGTCAGAGGATACTGTAATTGAAACGTTATCGCAATCATTACCATTAATCTTTAAAGTATTAGGACCATTCATGACAGACAAGGATGTCAAGGTAAGCGTTTTGACATTATCACAATTATACATATTAAAAGCTATTTCCATAAACTTGGGAAAAATTAAATCTTGTTTCAGAATTTATTGAGAGCGTTCTTTGAAAATATTTCCTCTCCTCAGGCAGTTTTCCGTAGGGCAGCAGCTAGTATGATTCTGACAACATGTATAAATTGCAGAAAGCCACAGTTTTTTTTAAATTATGTGTTGGATTATATATTAGGTACGCTAAATAATTACGATATACTACGTAATGCAAAAACATTCGTTTATTAATAATGTTTATCTTATCAGATATAACAACATTAGGAAGAAATGTCGAGGATCATTCCTCTACTGTTATAGGCGTCTTTGGATGCCTCAGAGTGATTTTACCTTACATATGTAAACCTTCGGAGCCCCAAGATGTTGAAACACAACAGATAGATAGTCTGTTACACATTTATGAATTGTGTTTGCACTATACAAAATGGCATTCTGATCATAATATTGTAAACGCAGCTTTAGAGACTTTGGCACAACTTCTAAAAATGCCTCCAAAGCCACTAGTGTCTGTTTTATTGTCTTCAGAAGGCATAGCACAAAGCAGAATAATATTAAATCAAAATGCATGCATTCCCTCGCTGGGTCACACAAGTCTTTCCAGCGCGAGTACTGCTTATGGTGCAAATTCGGATTCTATTTTAAACTTGCACGAGCCTGATATTCCGGAGATTACTCCAAATGCAGAGTGGATCGCAGATACGGAAACGATATTGCCAGTCACATGTAATCCACAAACACAGAATGAATGTATGAGCGACGTTACGGAGACAAAAGAAAGGATATTAGAAAGTTATTGCCATTTGAAAATCGAAACCACTGATAGTAAGAACGAACATGTGAATTCGGTAACTTGCGTAATAATCTTGCTTATTAGCTTTCAGTTTATTAGCTTTCAATATTTTTTAGATTCGATTGTGGAGGAATGCAGTGATATCGAAAGCGAGATGGAAAAATCCGAGAAAACACCTTATCCAAGCCTGCAAAGTGAACACTCAAAGGAGGAAGATTACTCAGAAGAAAACACTCTATCGTTTACTTCCCCTAAGAAGTCCTCCCTGGATTTCGCATTGTACGAAGTGGACGTTGGAAGTTTCACAGACTCGGATATGCCCGTTAAGTTTTGCTGCCGTTACTTGGTGTCGTCCTTTTTGTTGGTTGGCAAACCCGGGCAATTGATATCGGACAAGTTATTTCGTGTTAGTGTAAAAGCTCTCGCTCTGACATGCGTGGGTTACATTCTCAAACTTTATCCACACTTGTTTACAATGACCGTGGCCAAAGACTCAAGCTGCAATGAGACAAACCAATTGATTGCAGACATTTTGCTATTTGCCAATCACCCAGATCCTCAGATCAGGGGTAATATAACGATGGTAATTGGAATCTTTTTAAAGTCTATATTTGTTCAGTATGGCGGCTCCTTCCGGAACTTTGAAACGGAGTATGTGGCTCGACAAGGACGTGGAAATATATTATTGGAAGACGCAATAAAGTTACTTTTAAAAGTGAGTTTATACGTTTTATAAAGGACGACACCAGTCTCGAGAGTTTTTAACTTACATCTGTTTCTTGTCGAATGTATAGGGCTTGAACGATGATTCCGC